ATTTAAATCGATTTCTCATATTAAATCTGATTTTCACAACTTTTTTTACATGAGTACCGTCCTCTGTCATGCAATATACTAAATTCTATAGAAAAATCTAAAAAAGATGACTTTTTTTACATAATCCATACATTTACAGGGTGAAAGCCTTAACCCTGTGCCCTGTCCTGTACCCTGCCCTGTGATCATCTCTGTAACAAACTATTTCATGAATCTACGAGTATGGCATGATATAATTACGAAAATACTCATTGGTAGTGACATTCAATCTTAACAAATTATAATGTTCTCATATTCGATTCATTGTTAAAATATTACAAGAGCGATTCTTTAATTATTTTTTATTCTGATAAAGCGTGTCTTGAATAATCAGGTAAAAATAAAACTTTTTCCTTTTTCTCGTTGTTGGTATTTTTCTGTGACGACACTGACCTACATTTAAATCTCACTCCTTTGTGATAATCGTAATTCTATTCTCGTTCGTCAACCAAAATAATGATTGCAAATGTGACATAATCGTTTTCTCACCTAGAGAATAAAGGTGACATTCTGAATCTTTATGATTACGGTACGAGTTGTTGGTAAACATTCGAGCATAGAATCATTTCTCTCTGACAGATATTTTATATCTGTGAATTTGAAAGCATATTGAACAACTATGCAAAACGGCTTTTTGTTGATTTCAAAGCAATTTGTGAAACTTTTTTTTGTTCTGAAATATGAAATTCGACGCGAGAAATTTCTCTTCACATCGATATTCACTTCGAAGTGTTTTTGGCTCGATCAAGATTTAATCAATTTCGATGATAGTTTTACTTCTTAAGAGTGTCTTACGTTTCATAAAATCATTGTGTTCATTATTTTCTACAGTCAGCATTGATAAATGAGCGCAGATGATGATGAATCAAAGAAAATTTATAAAGAAAGCTCAACGAAAAGGGCTGAATTCATCTCTGACTTTCCTACTAAATATATAGACATTCTAACTTTTATCTGTATCATGCGACTAACATGACCATAATGCTATCGACTAATTATTGTTGAGAATTACGAATAAGCAACGTTTTTATTTTATAACAATAGTTTATTAGGATGAAACTTGAAATTTGAATTTAACTATTCAATAATCCAGTTCGAAATCCCCTAGAAGCTCTATTTTCGACCCCGTATTCTAAGCTAGTTTTTCTTTTTAGTTTTCTCTGAATAACTATTGAATGAAATGATATTAGAAGCTTTATTCAATCATTATAAACTTACTACATGATTCTTCGATATATTGAAATTTTTGAACTCGATGATTTGATTGATCGGTAACAAGTATATTTCCAGAACGATCAAAACTAAAACTAGATGGATGATTCAATTGATTATATTGTGAACCCTCTTGATAACATCCAACTAAACATCGAAAGCCATTCACGTCTGAACCAACAATCCGATGATTGGTATTATCCACAATGAATAAGTACTTCTCAACATCTAATATAATTCCAGTTGGACAATCAAGTGTAATTGTTGGATTTCGCGATGTATATCCAGCCACTGTGATACCTCTTGATTCTCCTGATTGGAACAATTGTACTCGATTATTTCCACAATCTGCCACATATAAATCCAAATTCACATCGACAAAAATTCCACGAGAACTATTGAGTTGATTCGAGTCTGATCCTTTAATACCTGTTCCAGCAGCAACACGATTTGAAGCCATCGCAGAATTACGTAATGTTCTCTTCACCACTTGATGATGATCCTTCACTGAACAATAAAGAGTATCGTTGATATCAACAAACAAACCCCAACATGATGAGCTGACATTCATCACTGTGACAAAGGTATTTGTTTCTGCTATCCATTTCTGCACTCGACCATTCTTAGTACTACCATCAGCAATATAAATATCACCATTTGATGTCACGAAGAGAGACTGTGGTTCTGTAAAACTACCGCGAATGATCTTTGTTGGGTTGACACTCTCTTCTTGCCATATTACAATTGTGTTATTTTCTCCATTAGCGACATAGATTGTATTATTTGTGCTCACAAAAATGGCGACAGGACCTTGACCAACAATCGATCGATCAGCAAAGATAATTCCATTGGAATTCCAAGTGGCTGTTAGACAAAACTTTGGTTGATTGAATGAAAGAGCTAAGAACGAGAAAAATAGAAAGAATGTTAGAGAAGAATTGTAAACGAAATGATATTGTCAATTTCAATATTTGTAGAAGCAAAAGAAAGTTTCTTCAAAGAAAGTTTTGATTGAAAATCAGGTCAAGAAATTTTCTTTATTTTATCAAATAAATCACTTTTTTCTATTATAGAAAATATTTTTTAATTATAATTATAGAAATAATAATAACATATATCACATTATAGATTGTCTTCAACTATTCAGTACTACTCTCTGCAATTAAATATTACGACAACTATCAAAAGAACAAATCATCAATCAAACATTTCTTTATGAGAAAAATCATTTTGTATAATATTTCATATTGAAGATGTGTCTCTTTCAAAGAGAAACAATAACAATAAGTTCATTTTACACAAAAAAAAGAAGAAAAATTAGTTGTTAGAAGTGTAATATTCTATTTCTCCTATTTTTCTTGAATGAAACATAGCGAAATATAAAATATGAAGTGAAATCATAGAATAATTTATATTAAAACTATATCGACAAAGATATAAAAAGATTTGATTTCGATAAAAACTGTTTCATTGATGAAACATCAAAGGTTTTTATAACATTTCATCAAACATAGAACTTTTTCTTTCTGTATTTTTTAATTTCAACAAAAATGCCAAGATTGTTTGCCTTAGACGATTGGTACATAGTTCTGTCTAATCTGAACATTTCATTTTCTTAGACAAATTCTTTTATACATTGATTTAATTAATCTTTCTCAACTATTTTTGTTACCTTACGGTTTTTTATTGAAATGTCTGTATAACCTTCTATTACTCATCTATGCACATCTCTGCATTTCATTCAACTTTTCTTCAACTTACCAAAAGAATCTTTCATCAATAAAAATTTTT